ACGCAGCACTACACTGCACACTTTTGGGTAAAGTTTAATATTGGCATGCAAGATAACTGAAAAAGTATTCATCCAATAAAGTTCTCGCTGTGCAAACATTTAAATAAAAGACAGTCGTCGCTCACATCCCTCGAGCATTTATCTTACAAGACAAAACGACGTCTTTGGATGCTGCTAAGTCATGTCCTTTTTGCAATACAACATTCAAATTCAACATTTACATGTGAAATATATAAAAATATGAAATGTACGAGAACGTTGTTCGACATATTATGGGGCAGCAAATTGATCCATTTTATTTTTCATATGCAGTGTAAATAATAATATTTAACAAATATAATCTGTTGCATACTAATGTAATATATATATATATATATATATATATATATAATAAAAGCGAAATATTACATATCTGTAAATGTAATTCGACAATTAGTTTCTTATAACTATAAAATAAGAGCACTGTTCCTATTTTGTTATGCGCATATACACATATTGCATACAATATAACGTTTGGTAAAGTATATTTATTATAGTAATTTTGTAAACTAGGATTTTCTCTACTATTCGAATAATTGTTTTTTACATCATATCTCTTTGAACATTTCGTTAAATCTACCAAAATTACAAGCTTTTCCCTGAAAAATTTTATATATCGAAGCAGGAGAACAGAAACTCACTACAGTCGTGTGACATCGATCCAAATAATTTCGCGGTTGCGACCTCCGTTAAAAAAAGGGAGGAAATTCTATAATTATAAATAAAATATTGCCCAAGTTTATATTTCTCGCGATTATATCGCGAATCAATTGCAATTTAATAAACTCTAAAAAAATAGACAAAGGCGTTAAATAGAGACGTTAACGCGTTAATTTATATTCGCGTTGATTAACATGCTGCGCTGAATCAAATTATAAATATCTGGCCGTTTAATTCTGGATACATCTAAAACTGACTATTGATATGACCGATGTTTATACATATACATATGGTTACAAATAATAATCGGTCACAAACGATCTGACGGCAACAAAGGCCGCGACTTTTTGCCATATCGTGAAGGTTAACACTGGCCTGGAGCTGTTGCTCAGCTCAAATTGATAGCTGTTTCCCTGGGCCGCGTCTAGACTCGACGTCTCTCTTTCTCTGTCTCTACGATACGTAGCGGCTGTAATAAAAGTAATGCGGTGTTAATAACGGTCTCGGTAAAAAGCCGATTGACAATCAAGTGACAATACATTTCGTCGGCGATCAGGCTGGCATACCATCGACGGAGCTCCATCGGCCACGAGGCACCACGGCAAGTCGGCACCACAGCAGTCGGCACCACTTCGAAGCTACGAGGTAACAGGATAGCATAAAACGAGGTTCCCTCCCGCTTCGGCCTCCCGCCGACTCCCACTTTCGAGAGAGTGAAGGGATATATCTCCCTCTCCCGCCCTGCCCTTCCCTCTCTTTCTCTCTCTCCTGTCGGGGAATATAATTTATCGCACGTCATGAACGCAACAAGAACTCGGTAAGACCGGCAACTCCGGCGGGCGCACGAAATGCCTCGTAAGAAAAGTAATCATGATAATAAATTGAGGACGAGATAATAATAAAGACTGTAAGAGAGAAATTCAGCCTCTCAAGACGAGGGAGACGTCAGCAGAATCTTAATTTCAAGCTTAATTACTCGTAGCTTGTTGAAGCTCGAAGACTTCATAAAAACGATATGATCTCACTTGACATTCTCGCTGAGAGAAGTGATTTCTAGTTTTATAAGAACGACGTCGCGTTCTGTACTTCATTCGGTTTCCGAACTATTATTCGAATCCCTCCGTTTCGATGTTATCAAGGTATACGAGGTTTAAGTTGATGAATAATGTATCTTAGCATTTGTGGATTGTGGAGCCTCGTGACGTTTCGGATTCTCGAAAGGGCGTAACGTAGGAGTGTCCAGAAAGATCGGAATACCAGAGAATGCGGCCGAACCGCAATGGATTCCGGCGTTACCTCGTTACTTAAGAAGGAAGCGGCCGCCGCGAAACCGCGTACCGGTCTGGGTGGAGTTTCTCGCGGCATTGTACCGCCTTTGACAAATACTTGGAAACAGGGTAGCAGGAGCAGAACCGGGGAAAAAGAGAGGGCAAATCGCATTATTAGGAAATCGGGACTCGCGCAGTGACGGATTACGGAGACTCGGCGAGCTTCGATAAACATATCAACACAATCTAAATTGCATACGACTCGCTAAAGTTTCATCTGACTTTCATTCACAAATTTTATAATTTCTATCTTTTAAGTTATATTAAATCTAAACAGTTAATCTATCTCTCAATATATAGAATAATTTATTTGGGATAATTAAAACTTATAATTTTTAGAATCGAAAGTAAGTTTTTGATTGATTTTTTTGGAACTCAGGTATTTTATGTATTTCGATAGAAACTGAATATGCTTGAAAAATTACACTCTCATTTCGTTTTTTATGTATGTAATCATGTATGTAATCATATTTGATCGCATAACTTTCAAACATGCAACATTAGAACAATAATTAAGTATGTTACGAAAATTGTTTGAAATTTCCTTAATTTTATTTTGACAAGAAAATCTCAAGCAAAAGTGTCTGAGCTAATCGACAAAATTATTTTTCTTGAAATTGTAATTAAATTGTATAATATACCTTTATATATATATATATATATATATATTACAAAGTTCTACATAACATAGAAACACAAAAATATTCTTGAAAAAGTTAAGTATCAAATTATTTAAAAATATAGTTCACTTTGATACATAAAGTTTAGAGCGTAAGTTATAAATAAATTAAAAATTATCTTTTATTTAAATAATCAAACTTGATTCTAATATTTCGTCGTATGCGTCTGTAACGATGAGCGGCACTGTTTGTCAGGGATACGAGGCGCGTCGAGCCGCCACTGTGGAGGCAGTGGAAAGAGAAGGAGTATCGCACGGCCCTCCGGCTTCCTTCCCGCCGAGGAACGCTCATCGAGCGTGGCCGCCATGTGCCCGGTCTGATCCCGCTCGAGTATGTTTCCCTGCGAACGCAAGACTCGAGTGTGACCCGGCCTGGGGACATGGGCACGTCCTCGGCGAAGGTCAACGGACTCCTCCGTTGCTCCACTACGCCGTCCGCGGGGCATGTGCGTGGGCGTGAGCACGTGTGTACGTACGTACGTTCATACGTACGTGCGTGTGAGCGTGTCCGCGTCGCTCTCACGAGTACATCCGATATCGACACGACCCACGTCATTGGGCGGACGAACGCGCGGCGTCGAAGGGGATGCCGACCAACGCGCCAGTCATGCTACCCTGCTATGTTGCGCGGCAGCTCGACATCTTGCGGTCCGCGCGGATTCCTTGCCGTGCGACGACGAGGCGATCGCGACACCGCGGAATGCACGCGCGCGGCCCTCCTTCCGAGAGCGCGAGACACGCCGCAAATGCCGGCAAATGCCGACGAGATGATGTCGCGTCTGAGAAATGATACGTTCTTCATTCGATGGGGCAATTTACTATATCCATTAACAAAACACACCCTTCTCATATCCTCCATATATAAAATGAAATTGCGCCGACTTAGACCTTTGAGCGTAGAAAGAATAAAAGTTCGCAGGAAGATTTAAAGCTTATGGCTAAAGAAAATCTTATCGTGTGCACGATTGATCGGTGCGTGATGATCGGTGACTTGAGATCTAATTTGTCTTGATATAAAATGTATTAAAAATCCAGGAGTAAGTTCCCTGAAATATAAAATTAACGGTTGCTAAAAAGCGAAATAGCGAGAATTGGAAATTGGAAAGATGAGAATTGAAAGATAATTGAATACTTTTCTTATGTAAAAATTTATATATTATATAATTATATTATTGATTTGGTAAATTTATTTTCTAAAATTACATAAATCATAAAATATACATAATATACATAATAAAGCCAATCAAAATATATTTTTTTAGGATTTTCTGCAATTAAATATTTTGCTTAATTGCCTTTTCTGTCCTTTAAATATAAAAAAAAGATGTAAGCTATTTCTTGCAAAAATGATTATTTTTCAAGGCATTAATAAATAATCTTTTCTCTCCCATTTTAATTATTTTCTTTGATGTACATATCATAATAATTTAAAAAACTCTGCAATTAATTGGAATATTTATAAAATTGTGAAATTATAAATTCCTCGATATTTTCAACGATATTTACAATTAAATGTTGACTGGTTTTGTTTCTTGTGTATGTATGTGAGTGAGATTTTCTTAGTCTTTCAATTTCTCGTTCAAGTATTGACTTTACGTGAAAATTTATTTAAAATAATGTTATTTTACGAAAACTATAACTAAAAAATAAATAATAAAAAATTTATTTATCTCCATAATCCCATATAGACTCTAAGTTTTATACCAAATTCGTTTTATATGCAAATCTGTTATTTTATAAATATAATTTATAAATATTATATAAATCTTCATATTTTTTTATTAGCTCTTTGATTTTTTCAATATTTAAAGTGATTTTTGAACTTTGTTCTTTCGGTATCTAATTATTTAATATTAAATTTTAATATTAAATCTTTTGGTCTAAAATAAAAATACTATTTTCTATAGATTTTTTCAGTTTCTATTTCAATAAATAGTCAGTATTTCTATTTAAATTTTCCTCTGAATATCCAAACGATTGAATCTTTGACTTAATTGATAAATTAGCATATTGTTAACTCTTTTCGAACTTGAAACTTAATTATTTCTATTTAAAACCATCCGAATGTATAAATTTTTAATTCTCTTCCGCATTCGAGTTTTAACAACCAAGATAATAAACCCCATAAAATAAGAAGTAATGAAAATTGATAAGATTATAAATGAATTGTGTGTCTGGTACTAAAATTTACAGCTGCGAAGCTAATTACTTTGATGTCCATGAGGCTCAAATGAGGCCACGGTTTCGCGCCTCGATGGACAAAATCGACATCTCGCGGCGGCGGCAGCTTTGAGGCGGACACGTGACCGCGCCAATGCGCAGGGGCGGCCGAGGATGGATGTCGACGTTGCGAGCGCAGTGTTTTCACGGCGATAATTTTCACGTGACAGCTCGTGGAAGTGCGCGGGAAACCTGGCGTTATGACGGTGTGAGACCCGCGGCATCACGCACGTTTCGACGCAGGCACCACTCGCGACGCACCGCATTCGCGCGCCCCGCCAAAATGCCGGATAGGGAGGAGGAGAACTTTTGCAAGAAAATGACAAAAGCTACCAGGGGAATACACGCAGTCAGCGATGCCCTGGTGAACGCGAAATTGGCATTCGGTAAGGATCGCGAGGATCTCCCAAGATATCGTGAATACGCTTTTGTATTTTGTAAAGATGAAAGTTTTCATGCGATACAACTAAAGTATAAACATTCATTTTGCTTTCTATCTCTTGCACTTTTTAGATACTTAGATATTAGCTCTCACAGTAATCATTATTTGTCACTTCTCTATTGTTTGGCAAACATTTTAATAGCATATAACTAAATCTGATGATTCAACGTTAAATTGGAAATGCTATATAGGATATCTTGTTGATGCATCTGTCGCTACAAAGAATCTGGTTCAAGTTGCATGATTGCTGCATTGTAATGACTATAATACCCAGCTTTGTATCGTATAGTCTTATGCGCCACAACTAGGGTTTCTTGACAATTCCGTATGGGCTGATGGGCTTCTGGTTTTCTACGAGGTCTTTCGCTACCTGGAGGGTGCAATGATTAGATTAAGGAACACTAAAATTGGATTGCTTCCACTCAGCGAGCTTCAACGTACAGAAGCTTTCGAGCGTGATCTTGATCACTATTTGGGGAAAGGATGGAGAAAGAATTATAGTCCTAGGTACAAGCACTGCATACAATAGTGTACACATATAATAGTATTGTAAAAATAAAATCACTTTATGTTTCTCTGACAATAGTAACTTAGTAATAATAAAATTATTACCGAAAGAAATCTTAATCTTAATCTTAAATGTTTTACAAACTTCAGAGACAGCGTCACTAAATATCTGATGCGTTTGAGAGAAGTGGAAGATACGGATCCCACTCTACTAATGGCATACATTTATCATCTTTACATGGGCCTCCTCAGCGGCGGAATTATTCTACGCAAAAAACGGCAGATCGTGCAAAAGATCTCGCCTTTCAAGACGCCGCCATCGAGCGACGGCAGTAACGTCACGGACTTTGGACAAAACAGTATATTCCAATTGAAACGCGACTTACGCGAATCGATGAACAGAATCGCGGAAACATTGGACGAAGACACAAAAAATAAACTTATCGAAGAAAGTAAAATAGTCTTTGAATTGAATAACGAAATTATCAGAAGTGTGAAAACGGGCAGTCATGTTTGTGAGAAAATATTCTATTTTATCGGTCCAGTTCTATTGGTCATTTTTGTCTTAATAACTGTTCTTAATATCCTCTACAAATATATTATATGTTAATAAACATTAATTTAATCAACGTTAATCTAACGTCAATTTACTTAAAAGAAAAAAAAATATATATATATATATATACACACACACACACACATATATATATATATATATATATATATATATATATGTA